ACTAGAATTGGCATGCCGATATCTCTTCTGGTTTTCGAGAAAAAGTTGTCGGAACTTGGCATTGCAAAATCGACCAAGTCCGAGAAAACTAGCAAAAGGTATGCAGTTAAGCACACGTTTCTCACTCGAGTCAAATTACTACAAGTCGCGTTATAATTGAGCTAAAGTCTCTTTTATCGACTACAAAAATTGGCATGCCGATATCTGTTCTGGTTTTCGAGAAATGGTTGTCGGAACTTGGCATTGCAAAATCGACCAAGTCCGAGAAAACTAGCAAAAGGTATGCGGTTAAGCACACGTTTCTCACTCGAGTCAAATTACTACAAGTCGCGTTATAATTGAGCTAAAGTCTCTTTTATCGACTACAAGAATTGGCATGCCGATATCTTTTCTGGTTTCCGAGAAATGGTTGCCGGAACTTGGCATTGCAAAATCGACCAAGTCCGGGAAAACTAGCAAAAGGTTTGCAGTTAAGCACACGTTTCTCACTCAAGTCAAATTACTAAAAGTCGGGTTTTAATTGAGCAAAAGCCTCTTTTATCGACTACTAGAATTCGCATGCCGATATCTGTTCTGGTTTTCGAGAAATGGTTTCCGGAACTTGGCATTGTAAAATCGACCAAGTCCGAGAATACTAACAAAAGGTATGCAGTTAAGCACACGTTTCTCACTCGAGTCAAATTACTACAAGTCGCGTTATAATTGAGCTAAAGTCTCTTTTATCCACTACTAGAATTGGCATGCCGATATCTCTTCTGATTTTCGAGAAATGGTTGCCAGAACTTGGCATTGGAAAATCGACCAAATCCGAGAAAACTCCCAAAAGTTCGGCAATTTATCGTATGTCTTCCACTCCACCAAAAAGATTGAAAGTCGTGGTTAAATTAAGCTAAAGTCTCTTTTATCCACTACTAGAATTGGCATGCCGATAGCTCTTCTGATTTTCGAGAAATGGTTGCCAGAACTTGGCATTGGAAAATCGACSAAATCCGAGAAAACTCCCAAAAGTTCGGCAATTTATCGTATGTCTTCCACTCCACCAAAAGGATTGAAAGTCGGGGTTAAATTAAGCAAAATCATATTTTATCGACTGTTGCAATCGGCATATCGATATTGCAACTGGTTGTTGAGAAATGGTTGCCAACGCAAAAAACCTCCAAAATTCCGCAATTCATTACATTTCACAAAATGGCTTCAAGTTGCGCTTTTTCGTAATGCAAATCTTTTTCTTCCCATTGATGAAAATATTAGACTGAAATAGAATAATTCTAGGCGAATTTTGGTAGTAAAGGAACATGTTTTGCTACTAATTACCGATGTAATTCACTTGTCTCCTGATAACAAATTTCCTTGCGTTATCAGTGGCTGAATACCGAAACAATGCTGAAAACAACGCATCTGCGGTGATCGATAATTGTGACAATTAATGTTTATCTACACGTGCCGAATTCCGATTAGATATTCGATTTGTTTTTCGTTTTTCCAAAGCCGAATGCTCACGCAATGTAATTTGCAAGGACAACAATTATTTCGATCACAAATGATTGATCAAATATTTGCCGATTGATGATGTCGATAGATCTTCATTTGGCGTTACTTTTTAAACTAGAATGTAAAAATGGAATTCGGGCAATGTTACGGATGATTAGTCGACTCATGAATTATGAGTTAAAACCTACGCTTATCTAAGCGCCACTGTTTAATATAGGATATCCAGATAATAATGTAATCATTAATTATTATGTACAAAAGCTAGCGAAGCAGACTGGCGATGCTTTTCCTGATATGTTGCATGGTTTCGGTTGTTTTTCTCTCTGGGTGCCGATGGTGTTGGCCAATGTTCAAACTCGCGCAAAGTAATAAATAATTGATGTCGATCCGTATCACACACATAAATTTCATTCAGTGATCACAATTTAGTGCTGTGTTTAATCGGAAGTGTACCAGCGATGTGATGAAGCTTGTAATATAATTCAAGTTATTTGAAATTAACTATCAATATAATAAAAATAATAGAGATTTGAGGCCATTTCTTCAATTAGAATCCACGCATTTGATACATGCAGCGTTTGTCTTAACAGGGAGTTGGTTGAAAAAACAGGATTTTGCGTTATTCGGGAAAGTAGCCTGGTCAATTCCAGACACAGAAGAAACATTTAGAAAGAACAACTGGTTGCGAGAGTTATTGAAACCCCATTGCTTTGGCTGGAAAGCATCGCGTAACATAATAGGTTTATTGCCTTGTTTTGTCATTTATTTTGGGAGAGCAGGCTAGACAGGATAAACCGGGACCGCAAACAAGATGAGTAAATTGGCTCGAGTGACAGTCGCACAAAATACACAGTGTGTCGGGTTTCCTATTTTCGGGATAGGGATCCATGTCGCAGTTGTCGTTGTTTGGACGGCTGCAGACGGCGTAATTTGCGCTTGTTTTATTCGCCCATTTGAGGGTTCTTAAATCCATGTTATTGGTGAAGTTCCAAAACAAACAAAACCCATTAGACTGTCGCAATTGCGGTCTTAATGGGCGCATATTCATTTACTCGTCGTAAATGTCTTTCAAGTTAAACCGTGAAAAGGAATTTATCTGATGCCAAATTGCTTCACATGCTGGCGATTTTCTGAAAAATGCGACTTGACCAGAATTTGTCGTTTTTCTGGTTGTGTTTCAGGATCGAGAATAAGCCTTGCAATTTTAAAGATGTTCATAACCAAAGCACAGGAATAAAATAGTCTCAGACTGTTTGGGTTTGGATTTCCCCATTATTTTTATTTTAGTGGAAGTTTTCGAAAATAGAAAAAAAAAATTATTTTGTAAGAATTATTTAAGGGCGACGACCGTTTGCAAGAGTCTCGCAAGATTCTTGTAAAAGTCTTGGTCTTCAATCTTGCTCATCATTGCTGCTTTGCCGCAATCAAATCAATCGTACGAAACTTGCAACGTAGGTGTAATAATAGTTAATTACATTGCCATCATTACTACAATTGCAGCACAATTTGTTTCTTGATTGTCATCGTCCGTTCAAACTTCTCGTTCTTCAATTCCCCTAATCCTAATTAGGTGAGTAATTGCATGATGATAGTAATATTGAAATCTATTCATCCATTCGCGCAAGGATTTCATGATGGCTTTGCACATTTTCGACGCAATCTCATCCATGAATGAATGGCGCCTTTCAATTTCGGAGCCGTCTTCGGCACCGTTATTCTCACTATTCCCTTCACGTATATTCAACAGGACAAAGTCCGTTCAGTGTCGTCAATTCCACTGATTCGTGAAATAATGCGACTTGGACATTTCCCACACAATTGTTCGATTGTTTCATCAAATATCTGCCATGTGGTAGATGGCTTGATGGCAATATCCACTAGCTTTGGCTAGAAAAATTGTTCTAGTTCAAATGTTATTATTCTCTTTTTCACGATGATCGCATGAAAACAACAAACTGCAGAAATCATCTTTGGGGTTATAAAAATTCCAGTTTTGCCACTGGTTTCTGAATCCATAATGCGTCACTTTGCCTATTAATAAAAAAGAAACAAATCTCACAAATTCGCAGAAATAATTGCAAATCTTTGGTATATTCCTTCAATCCACGACAACTGCGCCTCCTCTCCTTCCCCCATTTGCCAATTTTGTTGTTCGAATTTAAATAAAACGATTTGTATGTTAATGGACGCGAACTCCTTCCCGCGCTGCCGGTGACAGTTATTTTTAGATTTGTTTTTGTCTGTTATATTATTTTATTAGCATTTTGTTTGCTTAGAAATCCAAAGAATAATTTGCCGTCATGCAAAACATGAATGATTGAGACGGTACCGCGTTGCCAGGATTACTGTGCAATCTACAAGATTGCGTTTGCTTGTTGGTTTGTGGGTGCCCACAATTGATGAGAACAATATCTCTAATTTTATTTACGTGTGGGCGGGGTTTAAGCTTTTGTGTTAAAAGTTTGTGCGCCCATCATTATTTGAACAATCGGAGATTTATGCGTTTTTAGGTCGTCGTCTTACCAGAATCTCTGTTCCGAAACGAACGCTGCAGATTGTCATTAAATGAAACTACTTTCCCCATTCCAGAACGTAGCTCGCATCGGTTTTCTCGCTCGGACACATGGGCGTCTGTACGGGATGCTCGATAGCTCGTGCACTACCACGTTCCAAATTGATACGTTCACGACTTAAATTTCTCGATTTCAAACGGGACAAAGTATGGAAAAATATTTTGGCGCCATTTTTGAATCGCATTTTATAGCATTAGGGGCATCACTCTATTCGCCTTGTCCACTAAAATCCCGTTGAAACTGGTGAAGAATTGAAAAATAAAACCGAGATTACGAGGCTTGTGGCAAATTCCATTTTTAAGACTCTTATTGAGGAAATTTATCGATTTCGACTCGTTGTTTTGTTGAAATGGATGGCAACAACGCACCGGAAAGGAATGATACAAAACATTGCCGAAAAGCGACAAGTGCAAGCAAATAAAGATACATCATCAGCGAAAGAAAAAACAACTAAATTTATTGTGTTTTCCGTTCCAGCGGAAATGTTTGCAAACTTGTTTACCATAAGGGGAAAAGTCGTAATCAGTCGGCAATAAAAACGTGTCCGCAAATTTATGTTTCGAATAGAATGCAATTGCTGCACCATTTGATAACAACACTCTGTTTTTTGGGTGTTTGGTAATTGATTTTTTGCAAACTTGTATGTCTATTACGAGAAAGCATGCTACAATCAAATATAGATTATTGAAATAGAAAACATGCTTTTGAATATTGATAAAGTATTAATAAAAAAATTTGTTACAGAATATGTTTGGCACGTGTCTCTATGTGAAAGAGGCCTGGGCCAGGGAAGAACTGGAATATATCGACTATGTTTAACGGATAAAACCGTAACTCTTGTTAAAGTGGACCAGCCAATTCCCACCGTCATCGAACTATCGCTCAGCAACGTCCGAAGTTGCGGACACCTGCAGAACTTCTTTTTTCTAGAGGTAATATAATCAATTGCCACTTATTCAGCGATCTGAAAGTGACGGAAAGCTAATCATGTTTTTCAAATGATTTGCACGTTCCATTATTATACGCTACCTCAAGTTAGGATATGATCAATTATCTATCCAATCAAATTTAAATTAACTACTTCCTATTTTTTGCATAACAAACGCAGGTCAAGAATAAACCAATTTAATTATGACCTACCTTAATAGCGAAAACGTTTCCAATTACTATGGCATGGCGCGGTCTCGCTCCTTCTCGCGCTCCCACATGGGAAAAGTTCTGCATCGACCACAACAACCGAAATAATTAATACTTCACATTGAATTCAGACTTTTATTCTTTGTTAGTATTACGGCCCATAATCGATTTAACCGGTTTATGAGTACGTACGCGTTCAATTGATAATTTACTTACTTGGAACGAGTAATTATCGCTATGGGAAAGTGTGTTTGATAAACTGTTTCTTTGATTACAAAACACGGAGATTAATATTCCGACTATTGAAAGAACGGGTTTTTTGCTAACCCTGGCTATGAAAGAGGTGTCAAAAACATTCTCTCCGAGTGTATCGTGGGCACATAGCGACTTTCTGCTATCGAATATTGTCGGGTCCGAGAGGCAAAAAACTGCTATTTTTTCTTCTTTTGATGCCTTACCAATCTTTGAAATTATTCGCTGCATCGCCTAAAATCCGAATTTTAATGCACTTAATGCAGTTTTACGTAGTTTTGTTTAGTAAACACAAACGAAATTATTTTTTAATCTTTGGTGTTTCTCTTGTCTCACTTTGATGCTGGCCATTTTACGTCGGCATAAAATGCACGGGCGAAAAAAAGTGCAGGTTTCCGGAGTGTTCTTTTCAGACTAAACTCAGCTGATGAGAGCCAATAGGCTCGAAACCGGTTCTGGGGGCGCCTGAGATTAGCACACTGCGTGATCGGTACCTAGTTGCATCAGAAACCTTTAACAGTTCTGATGTGGCTGAAGGTTTTATTATTCCCCATAACAGTAGACGAATTTATTGCTGCGATTTCCAAACACGTCGATCGAAATTAATTGGCTTCGCAAGCAAGTCGATCGCGTAAAATATGTGCAATGTTTAATCACATTACAACAATAAGTCATCAATTTTTAGAGTGAAAAACGTAAAAATGTTGGCGCCTAAAAATACGCGCCACTTGGTTCGGTCGCTCATAAAACCGATTTACGCTAACCCATTGTTAGCTGGCAGCGGTTGGCGCCGATCTAAAAACTATTAAAAAGCCACTGGTCTTTTTTTTCGGTTTATTTTCGAAATGGGAGGCATTTTAATAATTTAAATCGGTTTTACGACCTTAAACTTGACATTTAAACCGCGTCGTTAAATACACGCGCGCAATATATTATATGCAATTTTCAGATCGATGTTTTATTGATGTTTTTTGCGAGGTTGCCTGTTGATCGGCATTGTTTTTTAGTGCTTTTTACGTTCCGAATTATTGCCAGTGCATATCAATGAAATATAAAATCAAACACAATCAGGATGGTTTTACATCACTTGAAATTCATACAAAATTTGGCCAATGGCAAAATTTAAAAAATTGCTTCAGTTAAAAGACCAAATTTTTCTACAGAACATTTTGCCGTGGGAAATTTTGTAGAAAATACACACGTTTGTGCCTTATTTCCACACGTAAAGAAACACAGAAAAAACGGATTTCTTTGCACATTAATATTAAAATTCTAGTTTGTCGCATTGCATCAGAAATGGCTTTATTTTACATTTTACTTTTGGATTCTCAATACAAACGTCTAACGGGTGGCTTGTTGGCATCCGAGCTGAGAATACGAATTGCAAATGCACATTTTGCTTCCTCCAAGGTTACGTTGGAATCGGCACCGTTTTCAAGTGCTCTAGAAAATTCGTTCACACATAAATCGCATGGATTTTTACGGAAAAGGAATAATATGGTAAAAATTTAGAGAAAGGAAATACCTTGAGAAAGAACTGGCGATTTGTGTTCAAAATTTCTGGTTTTAATAGCCGCTCACTTGTTTATATTGCCGTTAATAAGCGAGTTTTTATGGATTCATTAAGTCGATTGACTCCAACAAGTGTCTGTCCTCACTTTATAAATTATAAAAATACAAGTCGATTCAAAATTCCGGTGAAAATCATTCCAAAAACATCATTGCTTTAGCTTTACCTTTGGACACGCAAATGGAAACATTTCATTTTAAACCAGTAATTTTACAGTTTTATCAGAGAAACTATGACGTAAAACGAATAAATCGCACCATTTTTTTGCGTAGAACCAACAGGCATTTACGCAATTTTAATGAGAAAGACGTCGTTTGCAGGTGAGATCAAATACTTTGTTTAAATGATCATCGCGTAGACTAAGGAAAATTTTACTCTTCGCAACCCAGATTGGTACTGGTGCAATTTTGCTTTGAAAAGGTCGCATCTTCAAAAACGCTGCGCCAAAAGTACCTCTGAAGATGCAAGCCACTTGTGTTTGCGAAACGTCAGGAAAGCATTCTGTTTCACGGCAGACTAAAAGCCGGAAAAACTAGTTAGTTTTACAAGGCGTTGTCACGATTCTACATTTAAAAGGTTTGCCAATTAGGAAAAGTGCAGACTATTGTACAAACTTAAAAAATAACAGCAGTTTAGAAAATACTGATGGAAGAAAACGTTGCAAAAACGTTAAATTTTTGTCTTTTGGTTTCAGGTTGGGCGAATGAGTGAGATTGGGGCTGGTGAGATCTGGTTTGAGGCCGATGACAGTAATATCGCCTTAAACATTCAATCAACAATAACCCAGTAAGTAAATTTCTAAAAATATTTTTTTCTCTATTAAAAACGTTTGATCTCTACTAACTGTACAGTCCAGAAATCGTCGATTAAATATGCGTGTGTTACTTTAAATCGTAACTAAGCATGGTGGGCACGTACCCAACACCCGTCTAGACCAATAAATAACTCGGTTGTCAAATAAGAATGATATAGAATGGAATTTGTCCAGGAAGAAACGTTTTTTGTGCAAGCTGTTTTGTACCACGCAGACAATTTGGTTGGAGAATCAAGCCAAAATATTTAAAAAAAGGGCGTAAGGTAATTTATTGTATCAGTTTAAAGCAATATTTGCTGTTTTTTTAAACCGCTGATTTTATAAAGAATTTTCCATTACCATAAAATGCTTGGTTTCGTTTAGTAAACCCATCAGAATAGTGGATTTTCATCATTCTTGTCACTGTGACCATCCCAATTGCCAGCAACATTCATCCAAAAAGTTCAGTTACCTTAGTCTAGGGCTAACTCCCTTATTTTCCTATGGGAGGGACCGTTTTCCCACACCTTGTCATTGTATTACGAACATTAATTCTTTGCTGCGTAACGGAAAAAATGGAAAAAGCCCCCATGGATAAATGTTAATTGATTGTTTACAGGAACTGTTTGAGGTGGTGCAAAGAACCGCATTTGTTGCAATTGGTCGATCGCATACAAATCGACGGGGGACTTGACTGGACAAGGCTTGTCATTCGAAAAAATCCATTAATATAGAACCCGGAAACTTTCCAATATGACCACCTAGTTGCTTGATATGGGCTTTTTTTCATCATTTGCATAGGATTTATGTTAATTTCTGTGCGGCTTAAGAAATTAACTTGTTTTCAGAGTGACAGCCAATGTTAATTGGTCAGTGTTTTTCTATTTTGAACCTGCTCGCAGTTTTAACTAGTTTTCTAAATTATATCAAACTGGTTGGCAGGTGAATTTTAATAAAATTGGCATCATTAATCGAAAAACTCGCCAACAAAATCGCTTCTGACTTTGTTGCGACTACATAACAAGCGAGTGAATTATTCATTTTATTATTTGTTTAGTTTGAACACTTCAATTTTACTTTAATGCATCAATGCGAGAACCATTCTGCAATCGATAACGGAAATGTTTTCGCACATTTTTGGCTGGGTTTTAGTGAAACGGGGCTAGGGAGTCAAAAAAAGTTCTTCATCAACAGTAAAAACACACCAGCTTCAGAAACCTTCCTATTTAAGCTGAAAATTTTTTAATGAACCTCTTAATCATTAAATGTTTGTTGTTAAAGGAAACCGTTAACTCGTCTGAGTTCCTAAAACATGAATAGGAAAAGGAATTTGTCGTTAGGAAACATAAAACATGAGCAGCACGTACACTGCCGGTTCGAGTAGAGGATCCTCGTTATTGAATCTTTCGTCTGAATTATTATTTTATGAAACATAACTTTAATTATCTTAATTAGCTTTCATTGTTAAGTTTTCAACACCATCATTAGACATTATCATGCCTCGAGATGAACGTTAGTAAATGCGAGTGGGTGGGTGCATTTAACACGTTTTTTTGCAAGAAATGTAATGGATTTTCAGCTTATTCAGGTCATTAATGAAGTAAAAAATAAAATTAATTATTTTGCTATCGTAATGGTTTTGTGGGAAATAAAACGAAAAATATGTGAGACAAATTAAAATGAATATATCAAAAGTGATTGTTTCTCAACAGTCTTTTTAATTATTTGTGGTTATTGATTTTCTAGTAACGTTTATTCAGCAAAAGTAACGTTCAAGCCCTCCGATATCAATAGGCGGCAGAAGAGGGCGCAAGAAACGAAAAAACGTGCCCTATTAGCAAATAAGAAAACCAATTTTAATTAATTTCTTTATCCGCAGCCTTGTCAGTTCGAATAAATCACCTTGTTATCTTTGGCCAGGTCTCTTGATGGGGTCACACTTAACAGGGAATTTACATTTATTAAATTAAAGGCAACAGCAATTTTCATACCGAGGGTGCCATTTGTTTGGTGATAACCATGGACGAAATGGGTACGGTTTGCAACTGTTGACTAATTGAACTGTCCCCTTCGTTCATGCTGATTAGATTATTTAGCGTTTCCAATTACCGGCTTTTATTTAAGTTGATATTAATGAGCGAATAATGTAACGACATTAGTTGCATTTCTATCTATCCCACCCGACGGACGTTTCGATAGCATTTGCCGGAAGCATTCTCAAAGGTGATGCTTCGACTGCTTAAAAAGTGCGTGCCACATTTACGTTGCTTCTCATGTAAATATATGAAAGTCCAAGATTGATTTCAAGACATAAAATCTATGCTTGGTACTTTTCTCTCAGCGCTTTAATTGGCTTGTTTAGGTAATTGGTGCGAATACTCACGTTACGGCAAGAGCCGAAAAATCACGTAATCGATACCGCACGGTGTGAACGTTTCATTTGCAAAGAAGCGAAAAAGTCGGAAAACCCGTGCAACAATTAGCGCTGCTTAGATCATGCCGTAAACTTAAAATTTTTCGAATAATTTGCTAAGCAGTTCGCCTCCTGTCGGCCTGCCGATCTTACGACATCAGCTGTTTTCGAGCTGCGAATAAATTTAATTATGATGAATTTATTTGTTATTTGGAGTCTGGTAAACAGCCATCAGTGGCGGTACAAATTGTCATTTTGGTCTATTCATGTTTCAAAAGTATCACAAATGTAGCAGGAGTCAGGAGTAGCATCTCTAGAAATGTTGGTCGCAAGTGTAAGCGAAACGTCTGATGGAAATGCTAATAGATGAAAAGATTTTCAATTTTGCAACTCTACAATTGCATTATGAAGCATAATCAGGGTGAAAATTGATCAGTTTTGTTCATAATTTACTATACAAATGTGGACTGGAAGAAAGTTATGTTTTGTCGACTTAGGATTTTATTCACGTGTTTGCATCTTTTAAGCACGTGCTCGCACTTTGACATGATTTTCTTTATTAGTTATATGACTATGGAAAGCGACTCTCTTTAAATACTGAATCGTTTACCTGTGAGTGAGCAAAGCGTCGTTTTCATCGGCAAACATTCTTCTCTGGTGACTTGGCCCGTGTTCCTGCTCAAGATCTGAATGATTTTTCAATTCAATTTTTTCCTGAGTGCTAAGTCATAACATTGTTGGCCTGCTAGAAGCTCATTCTTCCAGTTCCTGATCGTTCACTTTTTTGGCTTCAGTTCTTCGACTACTTCAACCATGTGCTTCTCCTCTTTTTCTGCCTCGTCCACCATGTTTTCTTTTCTAGTGCAACGTTCTTCATATTCTTCCAGTTCTTGATCCTTTAATTTCTTAGCGTTGTCCATTCCATGCTTCAGTTCTTCGGTTACTTGAATCATGTGCCTCTTGTCTCCTTTTGCCTTGTTCATCATTTTCTCTTTTTTCCTGCAACGTTGGGTTTGCTAACCATATATTTTGTTACGCCACTGAGATTGGAAAATCGAGAGCCGACAAAAATAAAGTTGTTTTGCAAAACGGTGTCGGCTTCTCATAGGCAAAATAAATTTTAATATACAAGGTTAATATTCAGAATGGCGAATAGATAGCGAAACCCATGTTTGGAAAAAGATTATTTTTTTTTAAACTGGTCTGACGATTCCGCTAATTAGATGCGGCATAATTAATCGGAGGCTAAACAGCAGCCGATTGGTAACGATGTTTTCTGGATTGTGCTGTAAAATCGGGATCAGTCTGGCTATGTGTTTGCCAGTTTGTGATTCGTCATATAAATGTCGTGTCGAACGAGCGCTAAAGCCACAAGTGATCAGTTATTTGGATTATTAAGTAAAATATTCAATTTGATATATTCGAGTGTAACAAACTCATTGTTATCTCACGGTCATCGGTTATGCGTTAAAATTCATTGTCGTCAGTCCTCAAAAGAAAAGTGTAAACAAATGACAACATTAATTGTTTGCGTGACGAAAATCGGCCTACCTGTTGACGTCAATATATCATAAGGTAATTTTACATTTTTTCTCATAAAAATGAAATGTATTTTTTTGACGCCGTGTGACGCAACACAATCTGGACGTGTGGACTGTTATTTTATGCAACTTTTAACATTTGAGCACGTTACCGCATTAATGAGCGATTTGTTAATTAGCTGCGTTTTTCTGTTAATTGCAGCCGGTTTAAGAAGGCGCGTCAGCAACTAGCGACCTCAGAGGCTGCATCAGCGGCAACTGGTGGAACTGCTGCTGAATCCCCGACTGAACTACACCCCAAAGGTCGCAATCGATCTGCGAGCGCTACTGAACCCTCCAAAACCACATCCAAGAAGTTCAATCCGATTTTCTCGTCTAAGTACGCTTCTTCTCAAGGTTAGTAACAGATATTTTCACTTGAGCGATAATTGTACGCTTTTGGGGCTTTTTTGCTGGCAAGATGAGGGATGCTTGGAACTGTTTAAGAAACCTGTTTTGCCCTGGAAGAATTTTTTTTCATTGTATTGGTTTGCTGTTTCGCCCTCCAAAAACGCGACCTAAACTAACAAACAACGCATCTAATCTAAGTGTGTGCTTTTCTGGTTGAATGGGCGAATTCATTCGCAATTACTGCACGTCCAGATATTTTCTGCACAATGAAATAAAAGCCGACACGTGGAGGTGCGTGGGACGCTCCAAAACGCCTTGGGGCTGACTTCAGCGCCCTTACAAGGGATGATTGGAATGTTGAGTTTGGTTTTGGCCTTTTAGGCTGCATGTTTGGAAGAGTTGGTTGGGAACTGGCATGATTTCTAAGATCCATATGTAAACCTGGAAACTGGGAGGAGGATGCCTTATCCGAAAGTTGATATTTCCGGCGATACAAGGTGTTAACAGGCGAAAAAATAAGGGGGCTTTAAGGGTTCCCTGATGCGGATCTTAGAAGTAGTAACAGTTTAGTAGTGTTATCTCAGTGTTACGGGTGTTATATGATGAGCTTTAAAAGCTTCGCTTTGAAAGCAGCGATCTTTGAGGCCCATTTTCCGGAATCAGCCACGTGCCGACCGGTTGTCGTCACCAGGGAATAGGAGAGCGCCTAGTCAGCGTCTGGTCAGAATTTCCACATGGATTGCAATATAATGCAGCACCGCAAAATTGACGCGTGCTGTTTTTTGTTTCAGTCATCTTTTTTTTCACAACACACACACGTCTCGTATGGGCACACTTCACAACTGATTTTAAGATGATTGGGAATTTTGTTCCTGTCTGTCTGATCTTCTATCAAAAGTTTGAAGATTTGGAACAGCTGAGCAAAACAAACCGTTCTTGTACATTTGTATCTTTGCCCTGTTTAGCCGTTCTTCAGTTTCTCAACCGAAAGTTTCGTTTTTTTATCGGAACCACTTTTATCGTCTAATTTTTGTTCAATAATTTGTTGTAGTCATGTATTGGTAGCTTCGCCGGTTATAGCTTTATCTCAATTTTCCACTAATCTTACTGTTTTTCTACGGGACCACACTTTGTAGAATGTTTAAAATATTGTTTATCTCAATTTGAAATGGTCCTGCAGTAGACTATGAATTAGCTGAAAGTGCAGTTTCAGAGTACGGTTCATTAAGGTTTCTACTAGGCCTGGGTAACTCAAAGAATTTTTAGGAGTTGGCGCAGTGCGCAGCGCAAATGGCTTGTTGCGCCAACCCAACGCACCGGCATCAGTTCCGTTGTTGGGAAAATGTTGATGACTTTTTTTAGATTTATTTCAAAGGCCATTTATTAATAACATTTTTGAATTTTCTTCAAATTTCAGAATTTTCCAGTTTTAGCCAAGTTGCTCTTTCTAAAGTTTCACTTAAAAATACTGACAATCTCAAGGCATTTCAAAGAAAAATTATGAAATAAATTTTTTGTCGCTTTGTAAAAAGTTTTGGAATCCCTTTCCAGCTTCGAATTTGGAACAAAAATCAAATAATTTTCTATCAAAAAACGAACAGAATAAGCGAAAGTTTTAAACAGATTATTTGGAAATCTCGTCACCTCCATTCTTCTGAACACTATGGAATGTTATGTTATGTTAAAAAATGTGGTTTTTTAGTTTTGACTGAATTTTTTTGCTTTACTTTCCACTCAAAACCGCTCTTTTTTTTGTAGAGTTTCACTTAAAAACACTGACAACCTGGAGGACTTTAACGCGAAAAATTACAAGATAAATTTATAACTTTGTAAAAATTTGACAAACCTTTTATTAGTGTCGAATTCGGGACAAAAACGAAAATAAATTTCTCCCGTTTTTTTTCCCGAAAATCATTAAGGTTTTCTCCAAAACCGATCACAAAACTAAAAGTTTTTAATCGAAAACGCAAAAAAGCATTATTTTCTGATTCTCTTGTTTTCAGCCAAAAACGATGAAATTTATTTTGCTAGAAAATTCGCCTCATTCCTCAGTTTGCAGGGAACTTTAGAAAACCCATTTCGTCTTCGAATTTGGCACAAAAACCACCAGAGCGCAGAAGTTTACAAAAAATTATTGGGAAAATTCGCCGCCCTCACCGCTCTGAAGATTTCTAAAGTTCCTTTAAAATTTCAGGTCATTCCAGTTTTAACAAAGTTTCTATTAAGCAATTATTAATTCAGGAAATTCTGGCGAACTTCAGGTATCTTCTGTGAAAAATTATAAGATAAGTTTTATTGGAACACTCGCTTCCTTAACCGCTTTGCAAAAATGTTTGGAAAACTTTTTGCAGCTTCGAGTTATGGACAAAACCGCAATGATTATTTCAAGTTTTTTTCCAGAAATGTTTTTCAGAACTGAAAAAGCCCAAGTTTATAATCATTTATTTGGAAAACTCTTCAAAACTGGGGTTTCTTCACTTTTAGGCAAATATTTCTAAACAACACTGTCTCTAAACAGAAAAACCGCGTTTTTCCTAACGTTTTACTGTAAAATACTCGCAAACTGAATCTTTCATGCAAACAAATTAAGAGATCGATTTTAGAAGAAAATTCGTCGACTTTCTTTGGACTCAATTCTGTTGTTCTTTTTTTTCTTGTTTAAACAACGTAGTTAAACGTTACTCAGAAAAAATATTGACGACCTTTTTAGATGTGAAAATTCCAGTTTCGGGTCTCGTAAAGCTTTAACAAGTGAATTATATCTCATTAACCGATAAGTCGTTAACTCAGAGAGCGACAACAACTCAATAGCGCAACTCAACACAGTGTTACCCAGGCCTAGTTTCTACATTTACTTTCTTTATTTCTGCTTTAATCTTCTTTTGGATTTTTTCGTAATTTAATTTGTCTTTGTTCCATGGTTAAATCCGGTTCCTATTTTTTCTGTCTGGTATTTTTTGGCACGCATTGTGCAATGGTGTTTTTTGATTAGCAGGTAAACAAACACATGCATTACCCGCTAATTTTCCCGATTGCTACTGTGTCTTTTCTGTTTATTCTATTAAATTGGTTGTTAATATCTTCTACTATTTGTGTTTTTGCAGGTTTTTTATTCGTCATGCCGTAATGTGTTATCGTTTCCTTTTTGTTCCTGTTAATAGTTTTCGGCCAAACTTTTAGGCTCAGCAATCATACCAAAATTGCGACGTAAATTTTTTGAAGCTATTAAAAAAATATATTACGGCTACCAAGTCTTAAACTCTGACGCAGAAAAGTTTGAAAATCACTCACGTTTGCGGAGAAGCGATTTTTACCACTAAATTGATCACCTTAAAACAATGGCTCAGCGCTAAATCGCTTAAATAATTATATTAATAAAATATTGAATACGCAACTTAAATGAGAAAATTGTCGTTAAACCCTGCCACTTCATGAGGACTTTTATTGTGAAACCCGCTTGTTGCTGAACATTTTTTTCTACTTGGAGCTGGTTTTAATTGAAATTGTCGCTGTCGAAATTGAATTTTAAAGTAGATCGAGAAATTCATATAAACTTCGGCCGCTTTTCGCAAAAATGAACTGGCATGCCCTTGTCATCCAGGTACCTAAATTCGTAAAACTTCGGCCAAAGTTAGGGCGTCATTTCTCCGATATCGCTTCAGGGTGAATTTTGACTTCATTTCCCGAACAGATCAGTTGCCTTTAAGTAATGTTTTAAAGTATGACTAAATGGCCTTAGCATAGCTAAACATGTCAATTAAAACATTAAAAAGTTGCTGAAACTTGACTGTTTAGCTTAGTGTAAATGAGCTAAACGTTGTTACTTTTTGATGCAGTTTTTGCGAAGATCGCTGTTTTTGAGTATCGCTATCCCGAGGAAAATTATGCCCATTTTGAATCACCAACAGGTTTCATTCAAAATGAGAATGTTGGCATGTTATAAGCGACTTTCATGGAAGCACTGAGAAAGACTCTTTGTTGATGAGTTGGAGACAAGCACGTTAATGTGTTCGGTCAAATTAATTTAAAAAATCCCCAAAACAGCGAATATTTAAGACAGAACAACGGCGCATTTTCAAGTGCCTAATTACTTTCTCAGTTTCAAGTGCGTCAACGTCTATCAATTTGCATGGAGTAAACAACACTTTGGTGCACGCGATCCTCATTATTAAGTCACTTCAAAGAGTTCGAGTTTAGCAAAACCCACGTTGTCATACATTTGAAGATCGCAATAATCTATCACACTTAGAAAGGTGATTGAAGTCGAAAATTCCAAAAATTCTTCTCAAATGTTTAATGGAATATTTACCTCCTAGCCATCCATCTCCCACCCGGTGAAGTGGCTGATATATTCTGCAATAACAGTCTGCGATTGTAAAACAATCAATAGATTTAAATACGAATAGGAACAGAACCTTTCTCTTATCTGTTCCGGTGATATTTTGTTTTTTCTCCGTCACTGATCCCGCGAGCTTGTTTACTCCACATTTTTGTTTTATTGGGGTTTTTATAACGGCTCGTTAATCCGGTGGAACTGGTGTGGGCGAGGGTGAACAACAGCGTTAATAAAATGGGGGTATAATTGAATTTCCTGTAACGAATAAACAGCGCCACACCAACGCAAGCGACATCACACCACTCGAATGGGTTTTTAATACGTAGTTTTTTTGCGAAGCATTCACTCCAGGGACTCTGGACGAGTGTGGACGGCGCCTATTGTTTGCCTAATTTATCGAAGTGGGTTTTTTCTATGCCCCAACATTGAGGCCTCCCCTAACTGGGTTACAGGTTACAGGACATCTCAGGGTCAGCGGTAAAGCGGAGACGTAAAATGGTCTGTCCTCGTTCCGGCTCCCTTATAACGGATAACCGACGTAGTGCCCTAAATTTTCTACTACGCTGCAATGGAGTTTGTACTCCATCTGACCTACATACGGTATCGATTTGAGGCATCCCCGCGTCCAAGGGGAGCCTTTTCGGATCCATTAATTGCCACCTTGCTCTGGATACGCTTTAACGCTGCTTTTTGCATTTTTAACCCCCCAGATTAACCCATGGATTTCGCGTGTGTAACCGGGATGCGTTTTTTAGCACTGTACTAGATAACTTTCTTATCTTGCAGATCCTTCAGCTGCTGCAACCAGCGCTGCGTCGTCCGCAACAACCTGCACTACTTCAGGTATGATTGTTGTTTCTGTTCGCTTGTCATCTTTCTCGTCACTAAATTCCGATTCTGTACGAGCATTTCCAGTCGTCCTTTTTCCAAATAACACTAATACTAATTGATGTTGGGTTTCTGCCCCTAATTTTCTTATTCAGTTCTATTCTGTTAGTGTCTATTTTAATGCTTGTTGTCTGATTTTTTCACGATAATGCTTATTGTCATTGTCTGTTTGAGTTGTTCGGATGCGCGCTGCCGTTATCTGTGTGAGTCGGTTATATCTACAGGGTGTTGTGTAGGTTATTTTCAACAAAAAAATGCTTTAAGCACATGAAAGTATGAAGCCGAAGGTTTTAAAGCGCGCGTTGAAAGTCATTGATGTTGATTTTTTCAACAAAGTTTCAGAACTTTTTATTTTTGTGTGACTTTGCGGAATTTCTGATTTTCTAGCGAAAAATCGGGATTTTCCTAAACCCCTCTTGACCTGCGCTGAGCAGTTGGTATTGGATGCTTTTTGTATGAAAGTGTGGAATCTTCTTTGTTCTTTGGAACTATGCAATCAGTCAAACCATAGAGGAGAAATTTCAACAATTTCAAATTCGAATCAGTTTTTTCATCAGTATTCACCATTGAAGTGTCCAAAAGAAAATACGTAAAATTACCTGAAAAATTCAAAATTTCTTCCAAAGCAATCAGAAATGTCGAATTTTTGGGATCATTTCACGTATTTCATCTTAGACACTTCCAATCCTATCTGGCCAAATAAGATTGAGTATTCATGAACTTTTGGGTAAAAATTCGATTTGTTTCAGTTTTTTATATTTGTATTTCAAGTGTTGGAGCCTTTGCGCTAACGATTCTGGATAACCAGGGTGTTGAGTTTAGAGAGTCACAATAATTTTTTTCTCGATGTCTTCCTGTGCGTCTTCTTTCAAAAGAATTCAACTTAATCGCGTAACTGTGTGATTCGAAAAAAATACGCCACGCGTTTAAACGCCTTGAGAGTTCTTTTAATGTGACATTAATGTGGTTGCATGGGGCTTACAGTGACTGGCGTAGCGATGACCATTTTCAACCACCTTCTACAGAGAAACAGCAATAAGCGGCGCCATTCTATATCAGGTTCGTATACACTTGCCTCACTTCGATAATGGCTTTACTGTAATCGTCTAGTGCCGTTGCAGTTGTTAAATAGGCTCTTAGTTCAATTAAACCGACTATTGCATGCTCAGAACGGCCCCCCTGTAGAATCGCAGCTCGCCTTCGCTATATATGTGATGATTGATCAACGACATTTTTTTTGGAAAACACACAAAAATCAGTGAATTAAAGCCTGAAAATAGTGTATCTACAAGTGGCCGGGGGGACACATTACGATGTTCTTCAGCGCTTGTATTGAGACGGCGGACCGTGACCAACGTCACGCATATAAACCTATGAATGTGTGCATGCCGATAATCTATTTTAACGATGTTTTCCGCAATTGACATTTCGATGTTATGCGTTATCGGATTTCTCGCTGACTAAGCCGCCAAACACCTTTCTCGCCGCTGCTTGGGTGTTTTCACATCGCAAATATGCACAGCACCCAACTTATTTGAATAACATAGCTCAGTTCGTGTACTTACTTACAATTTCAGTATGTTGTCAAACAGTTTCAAGTAGTGAAACAGTAGGGATTGTGACTAATCCATCATCATTCCCACAAGATGATCATTGAGACTGTCTAACTCTTCATACTGGATTTATCTGGGTTTTTTTAATATGCTAACTAGTAGGAACGAGCTGTAGTATAGTATTTAATTCAATTTCTTATGGCCTTCTTTTGAGTCAAAATTTTTTGGGTTTTTCGATTGCATAGTTTGGAAGATATTTTAAAATGAAAATTGAGCTAAAATGATCCCTCTCGCCTTCCGTATTAAATCAAATTTTACCGCTGATCCATTGGTGCAACTCGAATTCTCTAAATTTCAATCTAAAGTAACTGGCATTAAGCTTCAAGCATCATAAAAGTGAGCATGTGCATAAGCGAAATGGAAAGCTGGCGAAAAAACCACTTTTGAAGCACCAATTTTCAATAATTTTTCTCCATGTCGACCAATCAAATTTTGAATTAAGATTTAGATTCAGAAGAATTCGAAAGTTTGAAATTAGTTTTGCGTGTGGTGTATTCAAATATTCAAAAAAATTATACCAAATTGATTAAATATGCGAAAAGTTGAGCAGTAAAAGACTACTGAAATGGCTTTTGAAACCAAATTTGAATTGTGACTTATTTGGAAAAGACCACTTATCATATTTTTTCATGTTAAAATCTGAGCTGCAACAAAATAGATTACAGCTTTTATTGTTCGTCAAGTTCTGAGAGTTTCATGATTCGACGTTTAAAAATCGATGATATTTTCATTGCAAATTCCTTCCTTCACGATGCATGAAGCGTTAACATTTAGTTCAGTTTTGATTGTGTTTTTGAAATATATCGCCAGAACACTGTGAACGTAAGGTAGGCCTGGGTAACACTGTGTTGAGTTGCGCTTTTGAGTTGTTGCCGCTCTCTGAGTTAATGAGTTATAACTCATTTATTAAAGCGAATTAAAGCTGTACGAAACCCTTGACAGGAATTTTAACATTTGGAGTATCGTTTTTCCAGCAACGGAACTGAG